GACTACTGGATGCCGACTGGCAATCCAAGATGCGCCTTCCTTCAGTGAAGGGCCTCCCCACTACTTGATATATATATGCACATAACAATTTTGGATGGAATATTCAAATCCCTAACATAGCCGCCGGCCTTGAAAGACTGCAGCTTTCAAAATAAATTTACAAAATATGAACATAAGCATAAAAATAAGAACATATGGAAATATTCAATATAACCATACAAAATGAAACAGATCATAACAAACTTAAATATTGTTTCAATAGACTTGCATAAGCCTAGTAGATCGGTAAAACGCACACCTTTTGAACCGAGCGCTTAACTATACCACTGTTAGTCTTCAACGTCACAACGCGCACAGCACAATCATCACCGGGATGTGTTTCCAGGATTCGCCCTAGCTTCCAATTCAGGGGGCTGAGATTTTCCTCCTTCAGTAAGACTAAATCACCCACCTTGAGGTTTTCAGACGACGTAGACCACTTGTTTCTCCTCTGCAGCGACGACAAATACTCACAGGACCAACGCGCCCAGAAGTGCTGTACCATTTTTTGCAATAGTTGATATCTAGTCAATCTGTTATCGGGAGTGGCTTGAATATCGGCCTCAGGGAGAGCGGTGAGAGAAGAGCCAATTAGAAAATGACCCGGGGTCAATGGATTAAGGTCAGCAGGGTTGTGGGATAATTCTGTCAACGGACGGGAGTTTAGGACCGCCTCTATCTGAGAGAAAACTGTCGTCAGTTCCTCGAAACTTGAATGAGTGTTACCAATTATACGCACAGCATGAAATTTTGCTGACTTTATGGCACTTTCCCATATACCACCCTGATGGGGAGATTTGGCAGGAATAAACAGCCAATCAATTTTGTTTTCAATGCAAAATTTAGAAAACTTATTATTTTCCGGTATCCTAGAAAGAAATTCCTGTATTTCCTTTATATAATTGCTAGACCCTCAGTAATTAGAGCCGTTGTTAAATTCTTTTGCACAAACCCCTAAGAGATATAAATCTCTTCAAACAATTTAAAAAAGACTCGGTAGATAAGTCGCTGACAGCCTCAATATACACTACCTTTGTAGCAAAACGTATAAAAATGCACATATACGCTTTAGTTATGGCTCGGTTCCTTAATTTACCGTCCTTGATGTAAAAGGGACCGGCAAAATCCGTTCCAGATATGTAAAAGGGTCGGTTGCAACTTACCCTGTCGACTGGCAAGTCACCCATTTTTTGTTTCGCAGACATAGGTTTAACTTTACAACACACTAAGCATTTAGCCAGCACGCTCTTGACAGCACGCCGACCAGCGGAGCTCAAGATTGCCTGTGGCCCCACATGCAAGTATTTGAAATGTTCATGTTGAATAATTAAATTTGTGAAGTGACATTTATTCGGTAAAAGTATTTGAAATTTCCTATCGAATTCAATAGGTGCCTTTCTTAGGGCCTTCTCGCCTTCAATAGGTGCGACCACCTACCCTTAAAATGTTATTATCGCCAAGAAACGGATCCAAATCCTTAATTTGGCTTTTCTTTGAAACATATTTATTTTGCGACAACTCACTAATTTCGGTTTTAAAGTAGTGTGCCTGTACTATTTTAATTAACGTCTTTAATGATTGGTCCAATTCATCGATAGACAAATTTCCGCTAGTGCGCGAGTTTTGCTTCTCACGGCAATTCCTTAAAAATCTTAGACACCACCCGGTTACTCGTAATAATTTTGTTAACGTTGAATACTTATTCACGACAAATAAATCACTTTCTTGACCCACCAATACCATTGGTTTAATTCTCTTACGCTCAGGTAAATCTTTTATAACCTCTATATTTTTCAAATTAATCGTATTCGTCCTTAAAAATTGCGGACCATCCCACCATAACTTAGAATTCATTAAATCCGCGGGGTTAGTACCCCTTGATATTATGTCTGCGGGATTGCATTCAGAAGCGACATGACTCCAATTTTTTATATTACTTAAATTTTGAATTTCATTTACTCTATTCGCGACGAACGATTTCCAGTTATGTGGTTCTTCAGCCAACCAACATAATACAATTGTCGAATCGCACCAATAAAACGTCGGTATTATACCTGTATAGCCAAGTGATTCCGTAACCCTTTTCATTAGTCGCGCTAGTAGGACTGCACCACACAACTCCAGTCTAGGTAAAGAAATTGTCCTTAAAGGTGCTACCCGCGACTTAGCACAAAGTAATCTAACCGAAATTAAATTATTTTCATCGATACTCCGTATAAATACGCATGCTCCATTTGCCCTTTCTGATGCGTCACTAAACCCGTGCAGTTCTAAAATTTTAACCCCTTTTATAACTACATGACGTGGAATTTTCAAATTTCGCAATAATTCTAACTGCCCTTCAAATTCTCGCCAAGTTAACGCTATATTCGGTGGCACTTCCTCGTCCCAACCGGTTTTAAGTTGCCATAATCTCTGCATTAATATTTTAGTTCTTACTATAATCGGCCCTATTAATCCCAGAGGATCGAAAATTTTCGCAATTGCAGATAAAATTACCCGTTTGGTGATGATAATGTCATCATTACTCTTAATATCGATTACATATTCAAAATGATCATTGCTTGCGTTCCAGAAAATACCTAATGTTTTTGACACATCATTATCTTTTACAAAATGAAACCCTGGTTCTGATTTTTCACGTGATAAATTTTCTAAAACATATGAATTATTTGAATTCCACTTTCTTAGCATGAATCCGTATTCACTTAATACGTCATAAATTATTCTAGCTATTTCAGTTACCTCTTCAACCGTGTCACCTCCCGTGATTAGGTCGTCCATGTAAAAATCTGTCTCTATAATACGAGCCGCCTCTGGATATTTACCTTTGATATCAAGCGCAACCTGTTTTAAGCACCTCATTGCAAGAAATGAAGCTGGCCCGGTCCCGTAGGTAACTGTATTTAACTGGTAATGCTCTAATTCATTATTTTCATCTTCCCTCCATAAGATTCTTTGTAGATTTCTCTGGTTTTTTGCTATATTTATCATTCTATACATTTTGGCTACGTCGGAAGTAATAACTATATGATGTTTTCGGAATCTGCATAAAATTGTAAATATGTCATCTTGTATACTAGGCCCTACTTTTAACACATCATTCAGCGACAAATTTGTATCAGATTTGCAAGAGCCGTCAAATACGACACGAAGTTTTGTAGTCGTGCTGTATTTATTTATCACCCCATGATGAGGTAAGTAATATATTTTATTATTTTCAACCGATATTTTTTCTTGCTCTAAGTCATAGTCATTTATTTTAGTCATGTGTCCCATTTCTAAATATTCCCTCATAAATTTTACATACGCCGCTTTAAATTCATAATTTTTTGAAAACTTACGCTCCATCGCTATCATTCTTTGTTTAGCCATCGTTAATGACTGACCTAATTGACCCAAATTATCCCGCGTAGGTAATACTACTACGAATTTGCCATCAGCATCTCGCGACATCGTATCAACGAAACTCTGCTCGCATTCTAATTCTTCCTTTGAGAATTTAACACTGTCTTGATTCGATTCAAGCTCCTCGATTTTCCAAAACTTTTCGATATCGTTTAGCTCTTGAAACACCGCTAAATTACATACGCTTTCTTTAATTTGGTTTTCACGATTAACCGCCGTCAATGGACCTACCACGATCCACCCAAATAATGTTTCTTGCAATATAGGCCAACCCGTACCCAGTTTAAACCTACCTTTGCATAATGTTTCAAAGAATACTTTACCATCTAACAAAATATCAATTTCATTTGCAACGTTAAAATTATCATCAGCTAGCACGATGTTATTAGGTAAATTTAACTCGGATCGATCAAATGATACGCTCGGTATATCTGATGTAATTTTTTCCAACACTAAAAATGATTCATTCGTTTTATAATTGCTGCACCGCGATTTAACCTGTGTTTGAACCCTTGATTTTACCGAAGTACACGCTTTACTTATACCAACAATAGGCAAATTGATTTTAGATATAGGCAAACGTAATATTTTTGCTAATTTGTTTGTCATAAAACACACTTGCGACCCATTATCCAGCAAACATCTTACCGTATGATATCTTCCCTCGTTATCTAAGATATCAAGCATAACCGTAGATAATAAAATTTGAGATGTTTTCAACGCATTCGCATTTGCCACTGTTGCGCTAGCAGACAGTACCGTATTATCCGATTGTTTTGTTACCATTTCTTGTGTTTCTTTTACAGCGCAGTTACTGCTACTCGATTGGTCATTATTCATACCTTTGACATCTACACGGTGTAACAACGTATTATGCTTTAATCCGCATTTTCTACAACCACCTTCAGATCGGCATTCCCTTGCAAAATGATTTGCTCTCAGACAATTAGAACACAATTTACATTGTTTTATTTCTTGCCAACGCTTTTCCACCGGTAGTTCTTTGAATTTTTCACAAAAATATATGTAATGTTGTCCCTTACAGAATTTACACTTTATTTCATAATTTGTTGTCACGTACGCCCCTGTTTTAAATTCCTGCTTTTTCATTATTTTTATATGTTTCTCTTTGTCCTCGTATGCCTCTATGCTTTTGCATCTTTCTAATAAAAACCTTTTAAAATCGTCAATTTTTGGTTCACCCTGATATTTAGTTACCCGGACTTCTTCCCACACTTGCTTTGTTTTCCCTATTAATTTTCTTGACAACAACAAAATTAGTAGTCTGTCCCATTGTTCAATTGGCTCCCCGAGAGACTTTAAAGCCCGCCAATGACTATTAATATTATCAATGAATTTCCTAATCTCGATTACTGAATCGTATTTTAATATTTCTACATCAATTAGTGCCTTTACATGTTTCTGAATTATACCCTGCTTATCCTCAAACCTTTCCTCTAACATCGCCCAAGCTACACTGTAATTATCTTCGGAAACTTCCAAGTCCAATAATACTTTCTCCGCATCGCCTTTCAAACACTCTAATAATCTATAAAATTTTTGAACTTTGTCAAACCTCGGATTTTTATCTACTAATGATACGAATGTATTTTTGAACTTGTACCATTTGTCGTATTCTCCGCTAAACTGCGGTAAATTGAATTTCTTTAACTCCAATTCCGCCCCAGTGCAATCTTGGCCCCCGCTAGACGCAATCATGGTTTTATTATTGATGTTTTGACTTTGACCTGCATAAAAATCTGATATTTTGGCTTTAGCCTTGGCTATTGCACCGAATAACGTACATTCAAATTCATCCCTAGTATTTAATTCTAACTCTTCGGGTTTTAGTAACTCTATTTTTAATTGGACTTCATTAAATTCGTGTAATAATCCCTCAATTGGTTCCAACCTGACCTGTAATCCGTGTATTTGTTCATTGGCCACGCTATCTAAAAATCCTCTAAATCTTGTTACCGGCGCCTTTAAACTACCACGCTTTGCGATTAATACTTTTATTTCTGCCATTCTCACTTGTTATATAAATAAATACATCTACATATACAGGGTGATTCGTTGACAATGGGAAAATCAAAAGCTGAAGATACTACACGTGAACTGGTGACCATTGGCGCAAACATGCCTTATCCGAAAGTTGATAGTTTCGGAAATACAGGGTGTTGAAAGTTTAAATTTTAAATCGTTTTTTGCGATTATTCTGAAAATATGAAGGTTAGGANCCCTGCTTATCCTCAAACCTTTCCTCTAACATCGCCCAAGCTACACTGTAATTATCTTCGGAAACTTCCAAGTCCAATAATACTTTCTCCGCATCGCCTTTCAAACACTCTAATAATCTATAAAATTTTTGAACTTTGTCAAACCTCGGATTTTTATCTACTAATGATACGAATGTATTTTTGAACTTGTACCATTTGTCGTATTCTCCGCTAAACTGCGGTAAATTGAATTTCTTTAACTCCAATTCCGCCCCAGTGCAATCTTGGCCCCCGCTAGACGCAATCATGGTTTTATTATTGATGTTTTGACTTTGACCTGCATAAAAATCTGATATTTTGGCTTTAGCCTTGGCTATTGCACCGAATAACGTACATTCAAATTCATCCCTAGTATTTAATTCTAACTCTTCGGGTTTTAGTAATTCTATTTTTAATTGGACTTCATTAAACTCGTGTAATAATCCCTCAATTGGTTCCAACCTGACCTGTAATTCGTGTATTTGTTCATTGACCACGTTATCTAAAAAACCTCTAAATCTTGTTAGCTGCGCCTTTAAACTACCGCGCTTTGCGATTAATGCTTTTATTTCTGCCATTCTCACTTGTTATATAAATAAATATACCTACATATATAAGTAGCTAATTGTGCTCAAACAAAATGTTCAGATAAAGGGATCGTTATTTTATTTAGGAATAATAACAGGAATGACCTCACCGCTTTCCTTTGACCTGCCGCTGCCGCTGCCTTGCACGTGTCCTGGCTGTGGCTTCACGTCGCGTTCTCCACCGATTTGCTCGCCTACCTAGCGTCCCGTCTCAGCTGTGTGCCAAAGCCGGCCTGTGTTTCCCCAAAGCCTTGAATACTTGAATTCTTCGTGTTTTTTATTAACCATACACTGACTAATTCGCTCGATGGACCATATGTTGAATACCTGATTTCCCTTGTTAACCCTTATAATAGTGGACTGTATTTTAATTGAAATAAAACTAGTCGTGCGATACATCCAGCATATATTTCGTTTAGAATACAAAACCCCTCTACATACATGGACTACTGGATGCCGACTGGCAACCCAAGATGCGCCTTCCTTCAGTGAAGGGCCTCCCCACTACTTGATATATATATATGCACATAACAATTTTGGATGGAATATTCAAATCCCTAACAATAGTAGTGGTAATAGTAATGGTAATGAATATTCAAATCCCTAACACCCAGTACTAGCCCACGCTAACACCTCGCAGCATGGCGTCCCTTGGTGAAATCTTTCTATATTTAGAATCTGAGTCAGAAACCGAAGAAGTAGTTTTATTGTACGAGTTATCGAGAAAAAGAAAGAAAAGTAGAAATGCTTACTTAAAGGCAAGAAATACTCGGGGGGAGTTTTTGTTAACTGAGGAAGTTCCAGACAACGTATTTAGTGGTTGTTTCCGACTCAACAAAGCACAGTTTGACGAAGTTCATGAATTATTAAAAAATGACATTATTGGAAGAGAATGCAATGCTCAGCAACCCATCAGGAGCGAAGAAAAATTGGCCGTATGTCTCAGGTAAGATATTTGCTTGCCAAAAACATAGTTAGTAGTTTAAACCTGTTTATTGTGGGTAAATATTTTCAAGCATGTCTTAATAACAGTTGACTTGAAGTTGAAAAAAAAAGAAGAAGAAATGGAAAGATAATACACTGCTTTATTAAACATTAACAACATTATTTTTAATTAAAGTCTCATCAATGACCTTGAGGTAGGCAAGGTTTCCTGTGCTTCTTGATCTACAGCTACTAAGGCTGACAAGGTTTGGGGCTGTATTGGTAGCAATGAAGATGAACTGGCAGTCCCTTCTGAGTATGATGGAGAAAAAGGTGTTGTATTTGCCTCAAAATCGTTCTTTTCACCCGCTTGTGAAAAAGCCTGATATATTATATTGTTTGGAATTTGTCCAGTGAAACTTGAAGATGAACAGGCAGTTCCTTCAGGACATGGGGGACAAAAAGTTGGTGTTCTTGTACTTGCCCCAAAATCGGCCTCATTTAACGTGATTCGAATTCGTCGTTGGTATTTCCCCGGCAGACCTTTTGTTGTATAGTACATTGACAAAAAAAATTAATATAGTGCATCATTCTGCAAAGACTGTAACGGATCACGCTGGAACATTGTTTTTCTCAAGTTTTCACGATTCTCACTTCTCATTTCAGCAGTCTGTATGAAGCGACGGATGGCTGTTTGGTCACTTTGTTTAATACGTTTTACTGTAGTAGTATCAGAGTTGGCAGGCTGACTTCTTTCCAGTTCGTTAGAATTGTCAATTTCCGACTCGTCTTGGGTATATCCTTCAGTTACTGTCTCCCCGTCATCAGGTGCATTGATTTCTGCCGAAGGTTGTTGCTCTACGTTTGTGCATGTAGATCTATTTTGCATGAATGGAATGAGAAAGTCCATATTCTGTTGGTATGTCCATGGTCTTTGAATTTCCGCTTTAGCACCACTTTTCTTCATTTTTTTTGTCTTCGTAGTGCTTCCCGATGACGCTCTCGAAGTTTACGCCACTGCTCCTTCACAGTTTTGCCTGAAAACAAAATAAAAATGAAAGCGATTAATATATCGTCAAACAAAATTCATATAGTGTTTTTAATAATAGAATGCATAAGCATTTCAGAAATAAAGTTGAAAATGTAGCAAGCGGATTAATTTAATTTCTTTTTCTTTTTTCAGGTACTTGGCAACTGGGGATATGTTCAAAACTATTGCTGCTAATTATAGAATGGGAGAGAGAAGCGTGTCAAACATAGTTTCTGAAGTATGCGACGCATTGTGGCTTCGATTACAGCCTATCTATATACCTACACCATCTAAAGAACTGTGGGAGAACATATCCGTGGAGTTTGAAAGGAAGTGGCAATTGTACAACTGCGTCGGCGCAATTGATGGGAAACATCATTCGAAAACCACTTCAAAGTGGTTCTTCATTTTATAATTATAAACATTATTTTTCCGTTGTTTTAATGGCCTCAGTAGATGTTCACTATCGCTTCACAACTATAGATGTAGGGTCTATGGGCAGATTTAGCGATGGGAACATTTTCTATAATTCCCGTTTAGGAGCTATGTTGCACAATGGTTCTCTGGAATTGCCTGAACCCAAACCATTATCTGGACAAAATGAAAATAGTCCTTATGTGTTTGTGGGAGATGAGGCATTCCCACTTCTGCCGAACTTGATGCGGCCATATCCAAGAGTCAAAATAACTGACAATTTTCCTAATAAAGTGTTTAACTACAGGTTATCTAGAGGCCGGCAAACTGTAGAATGCGCTTTCGGAATCTTATCAGCACGATTTCGCGTCTACAAAAGGCCTTTTGAGTGTAAGTTACAGACTATCGATAGTATTGTAAAGGCTACGGCAGTGATCCATAATTATTTAAGAACTAATATTGTACAATCGAACTCGCCGGATGTAGGTGTAGAATTTATGACGAATCGCAGTGATAGTCATTTACTTACATTACAACTTAATCGCATTCGAGGTTCAAGAGAAGCTTTCTTAATCCGGGAAAAATTCAAAGATTGTTTCAACAGTGCACACGGTTCTGTGGAATGGCAAAATAGAGCAGTTGAGAGAGGGCATTATTGACATTTATAACATCATGAGCTAACCAAATGGACTACGTAGTTTGATACTCTTCACTTATGTTTAAACGTTTAGTAACGTACAGTTCACGAATAATTTTCAACAGTAATTGTAAATTATATATTTTTTATAATTTATTTGAATTAAAAATAAAGTAAACAATATAAAAACTTTCCGTTTGATCCAAGTTCAGCACCTATTTTATCCCATATTTGATCCTTCATCTTCGTCCTCATATAATCTGGATGACTTAGATTGTAAAAAACGGGATTTTCCCGCACAAGTTCAATTAAATGTTCATCAGCCATATTTTTTTTGTTTTCAAAACAAGCCCACGCTACTCAAGACCCACGAAATCTGTGCGGCGAACACAAATCTTCCCATGCGTGGCTAGCGACAGACTGGGCTAGCTATGGGTTGCAGTGTTGCCAGATTCTCGAAAACCAATGTCGCCACTTTAACGGGGAAAAATAGCCAAAAATAGCCACCTTCCCCTTCCAACTAGGGTTGCCAACTCTCGACGGAACAAACCCGGGAGATTTGAACGAATCGGGAAAGGGGGNGGGGGAAGTGAAAGTTAGGTCTTCTGAGAGAATTTGATTTGAAATTTTGATTATTCCTTACCCAAGTTATAAAGGTTAGGTCAGTTTTCTCTTTATTTAATATTTAGTTACTTAATCTGTGGGACCAAAACAATAACAGCTTTCTTCAAAATTATTTATTTTTGGCAAAAAGAAAACAAAAAATACCTTTTTATTATAGGTAAACAAAAATATAGATACTCTACTAGATATATTAATAAATTAAGACATGGTACAGGGTGATTCACTATATTTTGACCCCCCTTTAACTTTTTTGTTTTAAGAATGATAAAAAAAATATGAAATACGAAAGTTGCACAATTTTTTATGAATTTTTTGAAAATGAGACTTGAAAAACAGTTGAGGTCCAAACAAAATGGCCGCTGATGTTAACTTTGTTAATATAAATGGAATACCCTGTATGTTTTTACATATTTGGATAGAACGTTCCCTGTAGATCATAGTCATATGGGGTTTGTTTGGTCCATTTCTAACAATAACGAGATACTATTAAAAAACGAAAAGATTTTTTTTATAGAGAAAAAATGGCCTCTCACGACGTTCTATCCAAATATGTAAAAATATACAGGGCGGTCTATTTGAATTAACAGAGTTAACATAGCGGCCATTTTGTTTGGACTTCATTTGTTTTTCAACTATCATTTTCGAAAAATTCATAAAAATCATGCAACTTTCGTATTTTACATTTTTTATGTCTTAAAACAAAAAAGTTAAAGGGGGTCAAAATATAGTGACCTGACCTGACCCCTGTACTTAGATGCTCGAAGGTTTCAATTATTTCTTCCATTGCCATTGCATCACACTCAGTCTCTGTGTCGACTTTTTTGTATATATCAGAAGTAAATTTTTTCAACATATCCTTAGTAGGGTAGAAATTAAAACAGCATTTCTGACTGTTTCCAGAAAACATTCTTATTCTTAAAATTGCCACTAACATTTCGGCCTGCATTTTATTACAGATTTTAGGTTTCACACAGTTCATCAAGCTACTCGTTCCACTGCTGCATTGGATGATGATAAAGACAATACACATAAAGCAAATTTAGCAAACTCCTGGAATGCTAAGTTACCACCTGCATCTTTATATTTTAATACTTGCGGCCAAAAAAGATAGACGTCATTAAATGTTTCTTCATCTAAATATTCAGACCATTTCACTTGCAACTTTGCAAAACGCTTCATTGATGGAATTAGAAATTAGAATCTCCTTCAATTAGCCAACCTAAAAATTGTCCTACATAAGTAAACAGTTAGATTCATGTTAGATTGCAATAAAACTATAACCTAAAAATACCTTTGGCCCATGGTTCATTTTCCCATATTTTACGGTAGGTATTTTCTTATTTTTAAATATTTAGGACACATTATAAAGTAGGTATTTGCCCTTTTGCCAGGTTTACCATTCACCGCAGATAACATAACACAATTGCAAGTGCGCGCCGCGCGCGCCATTATTCCATGGCTAGAAATTGGCCTCAATGATTTGGGATCGAGGGGGATTATCCCTCTTTATCCTGCCTCATCTCGTGTAGGCCTGGACAGCCTTCGTAGGTGGGCCCCATCCGTCGTCTACCCCGACCGCAAATGCGGCCGGTGTAGGCGCTTTGTGGGACCTCCTAGACAATTGCAAGTGACATCATAACAACCATAGAATAACAACTAACAAGATGGACTGGATAATCTCGGAGTTAGGAGAAACTATCGTGAATTAGTAGTAACCAACCTGCAACTACTTAAGTCCCTAATCTATTCCGCACAGAAAAAATATTCCGTTTATTTACACTTACTTTATCTCTCAAATTAAAAACAAGGTAAAAATTATAATTTTTACTTTGTAGCCATGGTGAAACCAGAGATTTTCATTGTGTAGCCACTTTTTGTAGCCATAGCCAAATTAACAAAATATGTAGCCCAGAGATTTTAAATAGCCAGTTTGGCTACAAATAGCCCCATCTGGCAACACTGCTGGGTTGGGTCCAATATGCGCCACTCCGTTTCAAATCATGTTTTACAAAGTAACGCACGCGTGGGTTGCACGTGTGCTGTGCGTGGGCTGGGTTCAATTAGCGGCGGGCCTGAGACTGCAATCTCTTTTTGTGTTTGGCAATTTTCGGGTGCTCTTCTATATCTATCGCTCTCCTTCGTAAATATAATTATTATAAAATAGGTATGAAATATAAAAGCATACATGCAGATTATAACATTCTCAGCTCTAGATAATGTAACGACATTTTAAATAATTTTAATTAATGATGTTATGAATCGAAACCACTGTACTATACTATATTGTCGTTTAGTAATTTATAATAAAATGTTTTGCCAAATCGTTAAAAAACTTACATGCTTCTCTTGTTACGAGGCTGGAATAAAACGATGTAATGTATAGTTCTTTTCATACTTATAGTAGACATAAAAAATTTCAAAGCCTGCCGACAAGTGTGATAGGGGGAGAGTAGGGCAAGACAATTTTTAAATGTTCGTAGAAAATAAATGTTATAACAGCTAATTTATTTCACAAATCATAATGCTCTTATCAGGTATACTCATCTAGATAAATTGAATACAAAATTAATGAGAAATAAAGTGATATTAATTACATATTTTCAATTCAATTTAAAGGTTGCTCCACTTTACCCTAGGTGGGCAGGATCTTGAATCGCCAGACGTGGGCCCTGTGTTGCCGATATGTAAAAATATTCCCTAAATGAATAATTGCTAAATTGAATGAAATTAATTTATTCAGATATTTACGTTTAAAATATTAAGTTATGTTCTGAAAGTATAATAATATGCTGAATTTGCATACATTTATTTAAAGAATAATTGCTTTATTCACTTCATTTTTGCAATATATGTTGTCCATCTTTAGTATAATACTAACTCGCAAAAACATTTGGCAACACAGCTGGGCTGGCAACAAAACAGATTCTGAACATCTCTCTAAGACGTACGTTGTTCTCAAATCCCTAATGTGAGACAGAGACAATCAACAATTACACACGGTGCACTTATTACTTTAAATTTCTGATAGTTCAATTTGCGCGGTACAGGGCAGGAGTTGGTGCTGCAATGCTGTCATTCTTATTTCTTAGAATAGAGTTTTGAGTAGTGATTTTTGTTTTGTTACAAGTTTTTTATTGGATAACTTTTGTAATTCACTACAATTGTTTTCAATTTATAGCCATTGTGTAGTAGTGTTTGTTGTGAATTGTTTGAAGGGAGACTTAAATATTATATTCTGTAAACTTTGCCTAAATAGGATCCTGTTCTGCTAGGCAGACAAGTATTTACGACCCCGTTTTTGTCTTTATCGGCAATATAAAAGAGTTTTTTATTTCTACAATATATATGAAAAGAACTATAGGTAATGTAAATGACTATTTACAAATAAAATACGTTACAGTCCCACACTGGCCGCATTCAGCAGAGCACATCGATAACCAATCGCTGGCCATTTTGCGGCTGAATGCGCATATCTGAACCGATGAGTTATCGCGCGATTAGGAATCGGACGCCATTTTTTAAATCGTGTCTCAAACTCGATTAGTAATTACGATTAGTGATTTGTTTACCTATAATATTTGAATCCTATCCTAACAGTTTGTGGAAACGGTTATTATCTATAGTGAAAACTGAAAAACGGAAACAACTTTAGACACGTTAGAAGTCTGTTATGAATTTAACGACATTATTTATACAACAGTTGGAGCACGTACTTTACATGACAACTTGAAAAATGGTGAGTTTGCAATCTTGTAACCTGTATATTTGCCTAGACATGTTTTCTTTTACACGTATAATTATATACCTACATATTTTATACTAATTGTAGCGTTAAATGAAGGTTTAAGAACTTTTCAAATAAAAATAATTACTAAAATTTTGATTTTATTTTAGACGCAGAATTTTTCGAAAACTATATTTCAAATAATAAACCTTCATTGGAAATGCAGGTGTCAGAGAACTTACAAAGTAAATATCCATAATTGAAAATGTATTTTTGCTGATTATTTTATTTTTCGTAGATGAAGAATCATGGACTTGGAGCAGAAAGGCAATATTGTTGTTAGGGCAATGTTTAAAAAAACGAAAACTAGACTTACGAAACCCTAAAATTAAAAAAATAGATCTATGGAAGTCCATACAAATGGAAATGGCGAAGCAGGGCTATACAAATTTGGACGAAGGAACAATCGAAAGGAAGTTTCGAAATATGAAGAATACTTACAAAACTATTAAAGACAATAAAAAGAAAAGTTCTACAGGCAGAGGGACAGTAAAATGGGAATATTTCGACATGATGGATGATGTATTTGAGGAGGACAAAACGATTAATTTGGGAGCTACAGTGTCCTCTATATCTTCGACACCAGGAATATCAAGAATATCCCATGAAAATATGATACGAATGGAAAACTTGGAAGGTCCTTTGGCAGTTGCATCTGTTGTCACTTCTGAGGATTTATCTTCCATAACACACATCGAAAACTTGGCAGGTCCTTCAGTTGCAACTACGATCACTTCCAAGGATAAATCTTCTTTGTTGCATTCTGCGTCCTTCATACCGCCTTCATCTGGAGTAGGGAAAATACTCTCCCCAACAACAAAAACAACAAAAGCTGAGAGAGGAAAGAAACTCTATGGTTTGAGAAAAAACAAATCGATTTGGAAGAAAACAGAGTCTCTGAGTTAAGAATGCTTAGGGAATCAGTAGAACGAAACAATCTGATCCAAGCAGAATGGAACGAACTTTTAAAAATATTAGTTGAAAAAAAATAATAACAAAAACTACATATATATTTATATATTAATGTAAATACATATTTTGTTATAATAAAGTAATAATCCTATTGCGTTTTTCAACTGCAGCCATTTCTACGTAAGCAGGTTCTTCACCTTGTTGATCGTGTACAAAGTTTTCCATAGCATCTACATTTTCTCTCTCCATATCATCTTCCATGCCTCCATAATTTTGATTTAAAATAAAATTGTGTACCACACAAGCAGCTGCTATCATATTTTTGCCCAGCTCCAAATCACTTATATTGAGGTACTTTAATCTCCTGAACCTTCCCTTCAAGTGTCCAAATGCCCGTTCAATAATTGATCTACCAGAACTCAATTTAATGTTAAAATTTGTTTGAGCTGGTGTTAAATGACCTGTGTCTCTAAAAGGAGTCATAACATTTACTTTTAAAGGATATGCTGCATCACCTAGTAGGTGTTAATGAGATGGAATTAAATTCCTCTCTGTAATAGGTTCAAACAAAGGGCTATTTCTAAAAACTCTTGCATCATGCATCCTTCCAGGACTACCAATATATTATATATATCTATAAATCTACCCCTATGGTCACATGTACCTAAAATAAGTGGAAATAAAATTAATGTTGAAATTCATAGTAAGATTGCTTCTCATAAACCTTCCTGCTTTTCAAAAGTACCTTGTCATAAAATGAATATTTATAATTATTAACTTACCTTGTAAAATAATAGAATGGAATCCTTTCCTGTTATAATAATCTACTTTATTTGCAATTGGTTGTTTGCAGGGAATATGACATCCGTCAATGGCACAAAGTATCCCAGAAAATCCATGTGTCTTATTCTGAAAAATCTGTAAAATATTAATTATGTGTAGAATTCAATTTTATTTAATAAACTCACAGCAGATAAAGCTTCATATGAGTTTTCTTCAGGCCAGATCACCAACTGTGGCATCAAACTAGCTAAAGCCATAATAATTTGTTTAAAAATAGCGTGGCCTGTGCTTACAGCAAGATTAAATCTATCGCCAGTTGCAAGAAAACTCTCTTGCTTGCTTAACACGCAGATAGTATATAGTAATTTTTTTCGTAACGGTGCCATTTCATTCGGGTTATCAAATAAATTTCCTACAATATGCACTAATTCCTAAAATATATTGTAAAGGGTAAAATCAGTTGCAATTACATAAAATTACTGACTGCCAAGCTTGCCTCTGCAGATTCCCTCGACATCCTAAAATGTTCAAAGAATTGGACATCACTATAACTTGGTATTATTTGTTCAAAATAATTTTCATTTCTCGCCTGTTGCTGTTGTGGTTCTATGGCTAATAACAGCAGCGGTCTAGCAAGATTAACCCCTATATTTTCAACAATATTCAGGTCTAGTTCAACGTTAAAAAACAAATACAACGGGATATCCATTTTGAAACTCCTGAAATAATAACCGATCTAATCTCAAATCAGCTGTCAGCTGACAAATGAAAACATCACAAAAAGGACCATTCAGAAGAAAATGTTCGATTAGTAATCATCACGTGATTTTACGTCTAATCGATAACTCATTGCTATTTTCTGCTAAATGCACCAGTTGCTTATAAGTTTGCACCAATGTGGCCAACCTCCAGAACGCAAATTTCTTCATGACGATCTTTAAAATTCGTCACATTTCGTCACCCACTGCTTATTTCAAATTTACTGCATATTAGGGAGTTTTTGAATATCGGTTTTAAGAATAACGTAAACGATAAAGTCACGTGAGAGGGCATTGCGCATGTGCTACAGTTACCGTTGGCGTTTATCGTTACGGTATTCCGATATCCAACCCAGATTACGGTATTAGTTTACCGTGCATTTAGGATAGTAATTTTGTGTACGAATAATAATCCATCCATTTTTCTTTCACTTTCCGACTGCCTTTTACCGCAAAAGTATCAAATGAAAGCATAACCGTCAGATTTGAGGTTAGGACACGTTTTACCATTGCGGATAAACGACACGCTATGCAAAAACTGGAAGCATTCAGTACACGCTATTTGTCAATACGGTATTTAGTCACGTGTTTTTAACGTTTATCGTATTCGTAAATACCTTATGCAAAAACTCTCTATTGTTTAAATAAACCGATTTTAAAACATGTAATAAAATGTACTAAAAAAACAAAATGCAGTATTTTTATTAACAAATTTGAAATAAAACAAAAATAAAACCGCTATAATCTTTATTAAAAAATAAAATAAAATATATAAACCCGAAACAATTAAGTATAACAGTTTGAAATAGAACAAAAAATTAAAGTCACTTTTCCTATAGTTATATTATTAAAAAAATGAAGGATATTTAAGCTTAAAACTAATTAAAAATTGCTTTAGTCAAAATTGCACAAAAAAATAATATGTAACTCAATTCATTGGCATTAAAACAAATTCTTACTTTTTATGTTTATGCAACATATTAGTTTTCATTAAATCAATATGTTGTTGAGTTACATTGTAGTAACTGGTACCTATTACTTATAATAGTTGATTGGAGCTTTGATCTAACTACACAAAGAGAGTTTAATAGATCTTCTCCCATTCTATTTATTTTTTTCGATTTAACATCATTCATTATAGAAAATATGCGTTCAGACTCTGCATTGGAATGGGGCAGAGACAGAACTAATTTAGCCAAGTAGGCTATATCTAAATAAATATTCACCATTAAAATTGGAAACATTAAATAAAAATTCCCAAAACTCAGCAACCGGCATTTCTTTCGTTTTATTTTTTTCATCATCAGAATGATAAGGTGGGTTTCTCCATTCTCTTTCATATCAATTAATCAATAGCTGCATAGTTTTTTAACAAAGGCGCAAAAATTCCAGATACAGAACCAACTGATAAAGTTGTTCTGTTTTCACTCAATGCCTCTCTAACAAAAATAAAATACAATTCCTCAAAAAATTTGTCATTGCCAAAGCAATTTCTTGGCATAATGTTGGGTTTTTTTACGAACCACAACACAATAGTGAAATACAAATATT